GTATCCAATTGTTGTTTCTTTTTATAATCCAGAGTCTTCAGAAATTGAGTGCCGTTTACTTTCTGTCCCCACTTTAGAAGGACATTTGACAGGCTTTAATATACCACAGCTAATTATTAAAACTTTAAAAGAAATGCAGTCCCTCTGGATAATTGCTTAGCGCTTGGTGCCGATAATGCACCCAGTAATGGTAGGCTTGAAGACTGGTGTTGCAGGCATCTTAAGAAAGGCAAATTCAGATTTGCAGATTATGAGGTGCACCTGTCACCTCTTAATTTTAGCAGCTGAAGAAGGGGCAGATTCTTTACCATTAAATGTGGATGAACACATGTTTGATTTTTTTTGTAATTTCTGCATCATTCAGCAATTCAACTGGCAGTTCTCAAAATGATACTGCAAAATATAAGCATAAAGCTGATACAAATTTCTCTAAAAATAATTTTAAAAAAAATTGCTCAACACACGAAACATTTTCCGATTACTGTAAGTTTATCTTGTGAAGAACGAATATTTATGTTTTTTCTTCGGACCTTAACAAAGCTTTTTGCTTTTTAAAAAATTCATTTTGCCATCATTCGATGTTCTGAACACAATTATACAAAGCAGAATTCCATTAATTCATGTTTTGCAATCAATGATTTATGATCTGTTTAAAGACATTTTATCAAAGTTTGTAAAACCAGTCTGTGTTTTGTCTTGTCTATATATGATGTGATTTATGATGAAAAAGAAAATCAGAAGGAAGATGAAGATTTGGTAATAGGAGCTGCAACTACAAAAGTAGTGGAAGAACTTTCAGAAGAAGACAAAAATAAGTTTTATCTTCATGTTAGAAGTTACTTCTGTCGAGTATGTGATTACACACTACATAAATTTCCAGTCAACGATGAACTGATTTTGCATGCTAAAGTTGCTGATGTTTCTGCTCTAGCAAATGCATCTTTTTTGATATAAGGTACTTTTTGAACAGATTTCCTGTGTTACTTCGTTTAATCATGAAAGATGATGATATTGATGTTGCTACTGATATACTGCAGTCGCAATTTTGCAGTTTACAATTAGAAAACTTGGATGAAGTTATAAAATCAGCTAGGATTGACACCCAGTGGGAGGTTAATTGGAAAATTTGAAAGGTGCTGATGGAATTTTAAAATATAGTGAACTCTCTAGAATTATGTTGGCTATCTTGACAGTTCCCCATAGTAATGCAGAGTGTGAGAGGATTTTCAGTGTTGTTGCGAAAACGAGGACTAAATTTAGATCTAATATTCGTGATGACACATTAGGAAAACTTTTATTAGCGAAAGCAGGCCTACGTGGCAATTGCTATGAACAAAATTATGAAGTTTCTTTCTTAACGAGAGCAAAATCTGCCACTGTCCATAACATTTGTATGAAAACTGATTAAAGTGCCTTTTTTTTTTTTTTTTTTTTTTTTTAAACGATGAAAGTAATAAAAATGTTTTTTATGTCTAAGGTATTTTTGTTTTGCTTGCATTTAAGACTTAGTAACTATTTAAAGTTAATTCATTATTAAAAACTATATTTTTATCATTTAAAAAGTCTTTTTAACATTGTGAAAAATCTCCTGATTTTTGAGTGTCATAGGTTGGCAAGTGTGCAGTGTATAAACACACGGCAGTGGTGGCATCTCCTGGTGCAGGCATAGTTGCAATTGATGAGCTGATTCTAATTTCAGTTTCTTATATAGGCATTTTTACCTAAATCTAAATGTAACACATCAGCTTAGTGGTTAAAATCTTCAAACTACTAAGCTGGTGAGATGTTTTGTTTGAAGGTTTGATCTTAAATTTTGAATAATAGAACATTTAAAAAAAAAAAAAAAAAAACTAGGGATGAAAAAAGAAAATAAATCCCTAGAGGGTGCCATAAGCAATTCCTAAATAGTTTTTTTCATACTTAGAGGATGCCATGTGCATTTGTATCCCCTATGCCAATTTTAAAAAACTAGCTTTAAATGAAAAGCAGGAGGTCTACAACTCAACTCGTGACTACGCCCCCTGGTGTTATGTCATTGATGACATTGCCCTTGACCCCGCCCTCTGTGTGACGTCATTGGCCATGCCCCTGACCTGCTGATGCAGAACTGTCATTATTATACTACTTATTATAGTACTTACTCTATTACATTGTGCCATTTGTTTACATTTTTTGTGTAACATGTATATAAATCTGTAATTAAACCATTCTTACCAAGTGAGGACTCTCTCTTTAAGTTGAATATCAAAACGCAGTTGAAATTCATAAATGATTGTGCTTGCTATATGAAAGAAACTGCAGAAAATGCTTTGTATTAGTAGTACAGAATGTTTGAAGAAAGAACAAATAGAGAAGTAAGTCTGGTGAATGCTGATGTGTCCCAAACTATGTGAAATGATTGCTCTTTCACCAGTTTGGTGAAATGATAAGGTATATGCGAAAAGCACATATAGATGGGCTGTGATAAATGTCTGTCAACAAGGTGACTGTGTACAGAAATAACTAATGTGTGTATGTCTTTTGTATATGGTAAAGCATTTTTCTTCATTCTTATTTTAATTTTCTAGCTGATTGAAACTTACTTAAAAAAAATAGCCTTTAGCTTTTGCCTTGTGCAGTTATAAAAGTAATTTGAAAATTAGAAAACAATTCAATTAATTGGAATATATAAATAAATATACTGGAATATTAGTTAAAATGTAAAGGAGGGTAGTAAAACAAAAGTATTATTGCTGATTTCAATAGAAAGATCAGAACTTACCAAGGAGAATTGAACCCTCAACAGTCCGTGAAAAGCACATTTTATTATCTTGCATATCTAAACGTATCCCTTTTCAATTTTGCAGTTCTGTTCATTTTTTAATATCCCAAATCTAATATATATAATATAAATATATAGAGAGAGATAGAGAATATCTTATCGATTTGGATATGCGAGATAATCCTCCAATGCACAGACTGACTGTTGGGTACAACAAAATTCAAAAATAAGCAAAGCAGTCGTATAGAATAATACTTAAAACTAAAAACAAGAAAAATTGGTCTAAAAAGCAAATGAAAAGAATATCTTTTCTTAAGGATATTTTTAATAATTATTATCCTTATTATTATTATTCTATCGCATGTAACTGTTCCAATCAACTGCAGCACTTTCATATGTACTAAGTTGTTTGTTACACCATTTCATGGATGTCATCTCGTTTACCCAAGAATACATAAATCTAATGGCGGAGATGAATGATATTCTGGAACTGCTGAACTAACACAGAGGCCCTTGTTTTTGTATGTTTTTAACAATGTACCTCAAAATGGTTTCATCATTAACATAACGTTTCACATTGTGGTCATTTTCACATACACATTTGTCATGTAGACCTCTTTTTTTGAAAAAAATTGTATGGCATTCGCCTCATTACTTAGTAAATCGAAGATTAATGTCATTTTTAAAAAAAGCAATTAATATGTTTTTTGAATAAACGAGGCAAATTAAAATACCTCGTCAAAAATGAATTAAGAACACATGGTGAGAGCAAAAGTGCAACACAGTGCTAAAAGGCAGTTATGTTGTGATGTATAAGAACGCGCAGCCAGTGCTAATATATGGTTATGTAGCATATACAGTCAAAAGTCGTTAATCCGGACTCGTCGGGACTTCGGCGATTCCGGATTATCGATTTTTCCGGATTATAGATCATCAGTTTAAATATCGTAAGATGGCATGCAGAAATTCTAAAATTAAAATATGAAACCGTAAATTTATGAAATAAAGAACAATTATGATCTAAAGAGTATCAAATTTACAAAAAAAAAAAAAAAAAAAAAAAAAGCTTACTATTTATATGTTTACTTTATTAAACATTTCTTTCAATGTAAGTTGTTTTAAGTTGGCTTCGTTTTAGTGATAATACTTTCTCTTTAATTTTAATAAACAGACATAATTTCTTGTTCAGTTACAAAGTTCCGCTGTTCAAGTCCCGTAATTGCTGTGCCGAGAATATCGACTAACTTGTCAATCGAAATTTTTTCGTTTTCACTAACCTCTGTCACCTTCTTCATGTCTTTATCCATTTTTTGCAGCAATTCCACTTTTTGTTTGATGGACATCGAAACATACTTTCATTTTGTAGATCCTTTGGGAGCTCCAGCATCGGAAATTCTATTTGACATAATCGAAAGTTCAAGTTTACTTTTATAAAATTGCTTTTACATTCTGAAAAAAGTAATAAGCCGGATCTAGTTCGAAGATTAAGGAACAACGCAATCATCAACATTAACTGAAATAGATAATTAGCTTATACTGTCCGTTATACATAAAACACGCACGCGAAAACGTATTCTGCACTTGCGCACACGCATAAATGTCTGTGCGCATGTGTCAATGCGGTGCATGCACAGAAAGTTTTTAGCTTTGAGGTCCGAATTAACGACTTTTGACTGTATTAGCACATAGGCACGCAGCCAGATTTTGCCGAAATGTCTCATTTGTGATTTTGTCTCGGTAACAACTATAACAAAGAAGTACTGAAATGTAAAATTGAACAGGGATTTGTTCAGATATGCGAGATGCCGAAACACGCTTTTCGTGACTTGTTGATGGTTATATGGAGAGATTCCAATTCCTCTTATTAAGTTGGGATCTTTCTATGGAATTGGCAATAATTCTCTTTTACAATTAAATTTACTTAAATTTTAGTGTATTTATCTATAAATTCCAATTACTTATTGCCACAGTAGTGCACACAAGCTTTCTAACTTGCCAATTATTTTTACCACAGTAGTGCATATTTGCATTTTAAATTTCACTTCAAATTTCCTAGGAGATAATTTCCTTCATATTCTCTATAAATTTATTAAATTTAATATTATCTTTGCAGCAAAAGCACAGGATTTTACTTTTAGTCCTTTTGAATAAATTTTAAAATTTATTTATTTTAAATTTTTCATATATATACAGAATTTCCCCCCCTTCCCTGGTGTAAAACAAATTCTTTTTATTTCAGTCTGATGATGAACCTTGCATCCTTTCAAGTATCGGTGCTGTTCAAAGTCTTTTTGAACAGATTTTTAACCAGAAGATGTTAAAAGTTGATGGTTTAGGTAAAATTCTTTCCTAATTATTATTATGTCTAATTTTAAACACTTGAGTAACTTACAATCTGAATACAGTGTTCAGATTATTTCATTCAGTATACTTAAAACAATTATTTGTAACAAATTTTTCACTACATAACAGAAATGAACTTTACATTGCAGTTTTTTAACGTTCTGATTATGAAATTTGTATAACATACTTTTTGATTTCATAAATATTGATTGGCAAATGTACTTCTGAAACTGATTGGGTAATCCCTTAAGTAATTCATGCTCTAAATGGAGCTGTGCCTGAGTCTCTCAATGAGTAAAATACAGTCAAAAGTCTTTAATCCGGACTCGTCGGGACTTCTGCAATTCTGGATTATCGGTTTTTCCGGACTATAGATCATCAATTTAAATCTGGTAAGATGGCATGCAGAAATTATAAAATTAAAATATAAAACCATAATTTATGAAATAAAGAGCGATTGGGATCTAAAGGGTATCAAAATTTTACAAAAAAAAAAAAAAAACTTAATATTTGTTTGTTTACTTTATTAAAAATTTCTTTCAACGCGCACATGCGCTTCGATGCACGTATGCGTTTACACATGCATAGAAAGTTTGTAGCTTTGAGGTCCAGATTAAAGACTTTTGACTGTATACAAGAAAAATTTCTCAATGTTGATTTTGACTTTGATTTTGAAGCTATAAAAAATTGTACATGTAGGTTAAGAAATAACCATTCGTCAAAGAAGAAAATGTGTATTTGGCGGAATGTGAAAGGAATTGTTTATTAATAGCTGCTTCCTGTCAAATTATTACTAAAGAGCTGTATTGTTGTTTTATCTTTTTGAAATAATTTAAAGCTTTTTATATTAAAATGTTTAAATAATAACATTTGAGCTGGCCTTAATATGAGCTAAAATGTTTATAGTGAGCAGCATATGTCATATACTACTGAAAATATGATATATGTCATATACTATTGAAAATATGACATATTTACCAATTTATTTGATTTTTAATCAAAGTATTTGCGAAAATGTCGTTTGTCCTACAGTACACAGCATATGCTACTAATAAAAATGCTAAAAATAGATGGGTTAGCAGGAGTGAGTGCAAACTCAGCAAGAGCATTAAAAAAGTGCTAACAAACCCTTTTGGGCGACTGCTACAATATGAACTGTTTGTTTATTTCTCTCTCTCTTTTTTTTTTTTTAAAAAAAAAAGCCCAAACAGAAGGGCTATTAATTTACTTTTGGCATTTTGTGTTGATTCGCTATAAACGGCCAATAACTTTTTTAATTGTTGACACTAAATATTAGAGCCCTGTTGTATATTTAAAGAAATTAAATAATCTGCATAAATGTATGTATATATGCTTCTCACTTTGTGATAAAACAATGGTACCTAGAACCATCAAATTTTGAATAACATATGTCTCCACCTGAATATGGGCATTTGGAATTTGCTTTATCTCTTATTTTATAAAGCATTTATGAGTTTTTGATTAAGAAACTCAATGATTTCAAAGCAAGCAACGGCAATACTGCACGGGGGGGGGGGTATCTCCAGCACACAAGACTGTGTATCGGAAATTCTAAAAATATGTTCTTTTAAATATTTTATGATATATTCTTTTAAATATTTTATGATATATTTTATGGATATTTTGGGGGCTGCCCATATTCCTCATTGCTTACTTAATTTTAATTATTTTTTTAGATAATGTTCAAGAAAAGTACAGAATATGGCTTCTAGATAGATATAATGATTTTACAACTCATTTATTGAATTATCTGTCACATAATAACGAAGAAATTCAGGTAATTTAAAATATGATTGTGATGCTTTTATCAAATTTAAACTTGCATTAGTAGTGCTTTCTCTCTCTCTCTCTCTTCTTTTTTTTTTATAGAAAGCTGCTCTTAATGCTGTCGTAAAATTTGTTCAGTTAGAGACCAAAGAGCCTTTGAAAATTGTCTCAAGTGGCAGTTGGTATTTTCCGAAAGCATTATTTGAGGTAAGTGTGCAGAAGCATTGTATCTTTTTTTGATAATAATCAGAAAATTTGTGAGGGATTTTTAATGTATTCAGCTGTAAATATATTTTGAAGTACTTTTTTTTTTTTTTCCAGAGAATTGTTAACGAAATGACCTCACAGGATATTGATCAAAGATATCTTATTACTGAATTTAAACGGTTTACCTCTTTTGATGATGTCAAAATGTATCTGTTGAAGTCCATTTTACATACATTTGAAAAAGCTGATAAGGTTGGTTATTTTATTAAAATTGGGGAGCATTCATATATTTTATTTTTGTTTCTTAGTATTCCATTTTGATAAGAAAGGAGAGTTCAAAAGTGCTTTTTTCTAGATTTATTAAATATAGAGAATATTCTCCACTTTTTTGTTGTTGTTGTTGTTTCTTAGGATTCCATTTTGATAAGAAAGGAGAGTTCAAAAGTGCTTTTATGTAGATTTATTCAGTATAGAGAATATTTCTTTTAATGTTATTGAGTTGCAGTATAAGATTACTGTGTAAATGTAATCATTTTATCTGTAATATGAGATATATTAAAAGTAATAAATTATATTTTAGTTTTGCTAAGCTGCCGAATAAGTAATAGATTAGAAATGTTAAATTTGTTGATATAGCTCAAAAGTTAAATTTAAAAAAAAAATGAATAATCATATAGTATTTAAAAATAAAATTCAATAAAAATATTGTAATTCTGTGTAAGTTCCCAAAGACCAAAAGGTGGATTGTAACCTAGAAGAATATTGGAAGAATGTTTGGTTTCTTCTGGAAGAAACATGTCAATATTAATACATTTTTTGACTCATTTAACTGTCTTCTGAATACTTACAGTATAAAAGATTCTTGTGTGCTTGCTCAGTGAGATTTGAAACTTATATTAACCTTGTTGTCATCTGCTAAGCATTTGCCACTAAAGCAAATTATTAGCAGACCATATAGAACAAATTAAGAACACCATATTCTGGTTACTAAGTCTGTATTGTTATTCAATTAATAATTCGAATCATGGGGAGTTTTCATGTTATGGCATAAGCATTTGAATTGCTATAGCTATAAAGTAAAGACTTTAGCATTCACACCTGTCAGACAGGATTTAATCCATAACCAATCAGGAAAGATAAATTTGGATAAGTGTAAGTATGTCTTCTTACTTTGCTTGCTTCTGTGTTTTGTTTACTCTTATATCATGTTGGTATAAAGTTGAGAAGTTAAAGCATTTTAAACAAATTCCTTATACCAGTTTCTGTTTAGTAGAAAGGTCTTGTTGCCTAGCAGCTGAGTTCAGCTTGTACCACTAATGACCATCAAGCCATTGTGTAAATGCTGTCATAATTTTCACAGTATGTAAATTTGTTCCTTTTGACATGTAAATGGACAATTAACATATTTTCCATTTAAGTCTCTTTTAAGGGAACATGTAAATCCAGACTGCTTTGCATGACAAAAATCTCATTTTTTAGACATTTCTTTGCAAATTTGTTTTGCAGGGAATCATTTTTGCACATAAAAAAGGGCATGAAAGTAATCTGCTTTACAGATATCTATTGCTTGAACAAAGTTAATAACTTATAAACTTTCTATCAAAAATTCATTCTGTATGTATTGTCATAAAAAGTTATATGTTAGCCAAATATGTTATATGTTTTTTTTTTTTTTTTATGTTATATTAAATAAAGTTATATGTTGTTGTTGTTTTTCCCTAAACAGCAGCAAAAAGAAGAGATTTATCTTTGTTAAATTGCTTTTATGTTCAATAAACTTATTTTAATCATTGTAAAAAGAGTAATTATTATACAGAATGAATGCATGAATGGAAATATTTAATTAATTTGTTACTTAAAAATGTCTACATACATTTTATTGATGAGAAAGAAATTAAATATGTGGCTATTTTGTGAACAGTAGAAAGAATGATAGCAGTAGCCAAAAAATGGTTGAGTATATTCTTGTTTTTTAAATTTTTATCTTATTATGTTTTTAGGTTACTGATGTTTTCCTCAACAATTGTTTTCAATTGTTATGTATGCTGAAAATGCCTACTTTTTCAGAACAAAAAGAAATTCCAAATACTCTTGGCTTTCAAGAAGGCAAGTTTGTTTACTCTAAATAAAAACAAGTGCTAGTACAGTCAAAAGTCGTTAATTCGGACACCCATAATCCGGAATGATCTATAATCCGGACCTCAAAGCTAAAAACTTTCTGTGCATGTGCCGCGTTGGCACATGCGCATAGGCGTTTAACGCGTGCGCATAAGACCTTGACTACTGCGCATATGCGTGTGCGCAAGTGCAGAATACGTTTTCGCCTGCGCGTTTAATGTATAACGGACAGTGGTAAGCTAAAATTATCTAATTATCTATTTCAGTTAATGTTTAATGATTGCGTTGTTCCTAATCTTCGAATTGGATCCCGCTTATTATTTTTTGCAGACTGTAAGAGCAATTTTAATAAATAAACTTGAAATTTCGATTATGTCAAATAGAATTTCGATTATGGAACTTCCAAAGGTCTACAAAACGAAAGTATGCTTCGATGTCCAACAATAAAAAGTGGAATTGCTCCAAAAAATGGATAAAGACATGAAGATTGACAGAGAGGTTAGTGAAAACGAAAAAATTTTGATTGACAAGTTAGTCGGTATTCTCGGCACAGCAATTACGGGACTTGAACAGTGGAACTTTGTAACTGAACAAGAAATTATGTCTGTTTATAGAATTAAAGAGAAAGTATTATCACATAAAACGAAGCAACTTAAACAACTTACATTGAAAGAAATGTTTAATAAAGTAAACAAATAAAAATATAGCTTTCTTTTTTTTTTTTTTTTTTTTTTTTTTTTTTTTTAATTTTGATACCCTTTAGATCATAATTGTTCTTTATTTCATAAATTACGGTTTCATATTTTTAATTTTAGAATTTCTGCAAGCCATCTTACGAGATATAAACTGATGATCTATAATCTGGAAAAATCGATATTCCGAAGTCCCGACGAGTCCGGATTAACGACTTTTGACTGTAGTTGTTTCTTGATTACAAAACTAAAAACAAGTTCTAGTACTTGTTTCTTGATTACAAAACTATTACATTTAAGGTATTTTCTTAATGTGATTCATAACTTTTCTTATACGTGAATGTCGGATGAAAAATAAAAATAATATATTTGTGAAAGGTAAATAGATGCTCATTTAGTATGCAGATATTTTTTATATTAAATAAGTAAGTATTAAATTTTCCTTTCTCTGCGAGTTCTTCTGCTTGTGAATATTTGCTAAAATGTCTAAAAGCAATTTTATAACTATTATTTTGGTGCAAAACCAGCTAATCCAAATAAAATAATTTGTGATTCATTTGGGAAAGGTTGTCAGTATTTAAAAATTTAGTTTAGTTCAAATAGCCGTTACATATTCATATGCTTTATGATGGTGCTATAAAAATTATCATTAATTACCGTATGTCGTCCTATACTCCCGCCTTTTTTTTACTAATTTAATCATTCAAAAATCAAATGGGGAAAATTTTATGAACGATTTAATTTCCAATCGATGATGTTACAGTAAAAACATAACCATTGAAAATTATTCATGCGTAAACTACAGATGACTACCACAATATTATTTCTTTAAAAGAAACCGATATTCTGATAAGAATGCATAGCAATATTACAATATCCAATAAAGTATCTTCATTTCTACTTCTGTGTAACTTGAATCTCATGCATTCTTTTTGTAATTTCTGCTACTCCTTAGGCTTCAGATCATCTATAAATAATATAAGAAGGTTAATGATAAGAATCATTTCATGGTTGCTTTTCCGAGACTGGTAGGTTCATGTATTAGGCTGACACGAGGTCAACAGTTGGAAGGGAAAGGTTTAAAATGATCTTTGCAGGTGATTTGTGAAAGTTTGTCTTTGTTAGTAAGGTAAAAATATCAATGTGTGGAAGAATCCGTGGTAAAATTTAAGAAAGCTCATTCTCTGAATGCATCAGTGAGGTATAGTGCATTTCTCCTTTGTGTCTGAGAATCCAAAAATGCCGTATTCTAATTCTCCAATGAGAATCAAGTGCTGCTGCAAGTCATCTGGCATATATGAGCTATTAAGAACAAAGCAAGATCGAGGTTGTTTATTTCACTCGTCTCACCAGCGAGCAGCGTAAGTTTGACATGCTTCCCAGAAATGGCTTAAGAAACTTACTTATGTCTGCAAAAAATGTGAAATACTTGGTGACCAGAAAAATGCTCACAGGAAAAAAGCTCACACAGAAATATGCTCACATGAACAAATGCTCAAATTAACTTTTTCTGGGGCAGCATGTAAAAGAATGAAAACTCTAGTAAAATTTTGCATGTACTGTAATATTTTATACCACTGCCCTTGTACGAAATTTTTTTCTTGTAACTGCTTGTAGTTAATTTTTGTTTTTTACTCCATTTCTTCATACTTTTAATGTGTATCTGTAGATATTGATGGTTGAATGTAGTTATTTGGCCCACCAGCGGCCGAGTGGTTAAAGCCGCTAAACACGGGTAGTTTGATCCGAGGTTTGAGTCCCGGGGAACGGGCTGGCTAGAAATAATCCCTCCCCCTTCACCAGCTGTGAAGATCTATTTTGATAACATCCTACTTGTATTCTTACCAGGTAAAATTTTATTTTGAGTTGCTTAGTCTTTTATCTGAAAGCTAACAAAGACCATCTCGTAAAAGCATGCTTTCAAATCAGCAGTAGGTCCATTCTGATAGATTGTGCAAGCGGTATTGTGTAGCTACTATCAGTAGACAATATTAATAAATGTGGAAAGCATTCCAACAGTATGTAAGTAAAACAACACATATCTGAATCATCGTGTTCTTCATTCAGGTATATCCCAAAAAATACATGTAGGATCAGCTTTTTAAAAATGTAATCTGTGCACAAATTATAACAAAGAGGTTATTACAAAAGATCAAAAACTACACAACCATTTTCTAAAACAGTTAAACTAACTAAAAATAGGACATTGATTATATCATAAATCATTGAGCGTGCAATAAAAACTCACGCAATCTTTCCTTATTAGTTGAATTCGTTATGCGCATGCACAGCGGAAGTATCACATATCCCAACAATCGGATCATTCTTATTTCCTGTGTGTGCAAGTAAGCTTTCCTTTGTGGTCTTATTACAATGCTGGTGAAGAAAGCATGACCAAATTAGCCATCAATCAATCTTCATTTTAGCTGCATAATGAGATGTCTCTCAGGGCTAACGATCTAGGCCTCCTATGACTGTGTGAGATTTTGCCGTCATTCTATAAAGTTGTCTAAAGTATTTGTGCTTTATCATCAGTGTTGAGGGGATGAAGAAAGATCGAAATACATTTTAGTGTCTACTAAACCTTTTTTAGAAACATGGAATTCACAACCACCCAAAAAGGAAAACGTGCGTTTCGATTACTTATATTTTCAGGTTACTAATGATATCATTACTTAGATATGTCGAAAAGGCCTATCAACAAAATGCAAGTCAATGATGAAAACTAAAGGAGAAGAAATAATACAGGAACCAACAAATCATTGCCATGATTCTTGCGTACAGAAGATAAAGGCCAATATTGCAAAGAATGAAATGAAGGAAACAATCAAAGCTGTAAAAGCTACACCTTGAAATGTTATGGGTGGTGTGATGAGTGAAATCAGTAATGAAGTATTGTCATATTTGCCAAAAAATTCTTCTTCTAATAGTCTTCGAAATTACAAAAAAATTGACCATACACTAAATCCAACAAATATACATTTTTAAGAGGCCTGATCAATACATTCAGTGAATTCTATTCGATAGTGGTGTTGATGATCGAGACAGAATTTTGGTGCTTGGTGATAAAGAATTGTTATTGGAATTAAAAAAAGATACAATTTATGGAGATGGTACTTTTGATAAAGTTCCCAATTTGTTTTATAAAACTATACACTGGCATGCAAAGGTTTGGTAATTCTTATCTACCTTGTGTATATGTATTATTAATGAAAAAGACGGAAGGTGTCTATACAAAAATGTTTAATATAATTAAAAATTTACTTCCGAATTTGACTCCAGACAATACTTCATTATTCAGTCAATTTTGAAAAAGCATGTATGAACGCTGCTGCCATTGCTATTCCACATGCTGAGATAAAAGGATATTATTTTCACTTATGCCAAAGCATTCTAAGAAAAATTTCAAATGTTGGTTTGAAGAATGAGTTTGAAGCAAGAATCGATTGCAAAATAAAGTTAAAATCACTTGCGGCTTTATCGTGTGTTCCACCGCATGAAGTAAGAAAAGTTTACGATCAACTTGCTGATACGTATCCCGACGAAGATAGGTACAATGAAGTTCTTACGTACTTTTTTTTTACGTACATCCGGGCTACCTAGAGGTAGACTACATTTTCCAGTCAAAGTGTGGAATCATTATGAAGCAGCCTTTGAAAAATCTCCTAAAACCACAAATTGTTGCGAAGGCTTTCATAATGCACTAAATTCATTATTTAATTGTAGCCATCCCAGTATGTGGTTTTTAATTGACGGACTGAAAAACGATTTAGCCTATCAACGTTTATTATTAGCTAATGCAAATACAGGGCGTACTGAAGTAAAATAAAAGAAAATATGAAAACTTACATTTGGTAATCACGAATCATGTAAGAAACTATGATGAAATTGATGATAAAATTAGATATTTATGTATATTAGCTAATATTCAATAAGTTTATGTATTCATAAATTTTTCAAAATATATATTTTTGATTTATATGTAATAAGGTATTTTACGTAATTTAATTAAAACAATTATTTCTATTTGCTTATTCTTTTAAATGTGTAACTATGAATGTTAGCTACTATAAAAATGTGTAACTTATATTTACTATTATTTAATTTTTTAACAATTAAAATTATAATTAATTTTTCACTGTACATTCTGTTTCATTTTTACTCCTCCTTCCTCCTCTCCTGTTCTTTTCAAATTATTTTAAATATTTTAAATAAGTTATAGTTTTTGAAATATGTACCATAGATTGTGTTTTAAATATTTTTTAAAAAAATAAATTAATAAAAAATTAATTTTAA